AAAAAAAAAAAAAAAAAAAAAAAAAACAAAGCATAATCAGTTTAAACTGGCTAAGGTTTTGGCCAGAAATGATCAATGATCGCTATTGGGAATTGGCTCTATATTGTAGCTAAATTTTACACAAGCTAATAATAAACTTCTCCTCTCCCTGGGTTATTTTCTTCCCATCTGGGTGACCACTTCCCTTCTGTAGGAGCTGAAATCCCATCCTGGATAAAAAAACCCTCCTGTTCTTTCTCTCCTGGGTCACTCAGGTTCAGTGAAACATCACGACTTACATCATCTTAAGCCATTGATCGGGGAGGGAAAAGTCTGACACAGATGGTGCTGGCAGCCACGCTGCAAAAATTCCTTGTTGTGTAAGAAGTTGGTCCAATGACTGAGTGTCACAGAGAGTGAGATAGCCTTTCCTGCCCTGATTCCACTTGGCTATCCCTCATGTTTTTTATACAAAGTCAAGGCCAAAATATACAAGAAGGACCGTTGTCCATGTCAGGTTTGTGCATTGGGCCAAATGGCCATCATGGATTTCTGTCCATATTCCCTGTATACTTTATATGTGTTGCAAATAAGAGTTTTGATGTCACCGCTTTCTTTAAGTGTGAGCAGAGGAGTAAAATAAAGGCCCAATACTTCAGGCCTGATGCTTTATGCACAAGGCTGAAGTTGTAACTGTTGCTGAGATGACTGTGGAAGCGATGCGTGGTGGCTTCTTTGTTGGCTTTTAAGGGAAACATCTGCTCTGGGTCTTATGGACAAAATCCAAGGCGAAAATCTGTGTCAAAGCAAAATGAAAATACATATGAGGGTCCTGTGGGTAAGTCATGAGCCCCTCCATGTTCTCGGTGCCTAAGTTTAGCTGTGGCACGATGTTGCTGTAGTGAAGAGCAGTATAGGTATGGCCAGTGGAGGTCAGGACCTCCACACCCTTGCCATCAAACACCTCTGTGACCTGGATGAGACTGTCCTGCTTCAAAATTCTTGCTCCTTATGCCTTGGATAGTCTTGCCTGAAGATCTGTCTTCTGGGAAAGGAAGGGCAAGACTGAATGTTCAGCCCCCAAACCAGTGGCTCAGTTGGAGTCTCCTTGCAGGGGGACAGTGGCTTTTACACCATCAGTAAGGACATGTGAGAAAAGAGGTGGAGTAGAGAGAGCTGTCAGTGATGAGTCTGTGGAGACAGACTCAAGAACAGTGACACCTAAGAGGTGCCACAATACACTGAAAACACTATTAGAGATGTTCTCAGTAGCTTCCAGACCAAAACCAGACCCAATTTGCCAGACTGAAGAAGTGGGTTTGTTTTTTATCTATCTGTTTCCACAGCAGATGTGATATTTGGCCTCGCACCAGACCAAGTGTGCATCTGCCCATCATTATCACCAATGTGAACGATGTAGTTGGATGAAGTGAGACAAGTTTTGGGCTTCTTCTGTCAGGCAGAAAGGAATCAATCTGAATATCAGGATGGGTAGGCTGTTAGACCTAAGTGGGTCTCTGTCCTGCTCTCTCCTACTGCTCCACTCACAACCTTTCATCCACCACTACTCTTAGCCTTCAAAGCGGGGCTTCCTTAGGAGATATTCTTCAGAAAGCCAACCCATCTTGGTGTCAAGGCTTCCAGGGATGGCAGATGTTGTCCTTGCTGTCCTTTCCTTGAAACACGGCATCAACCACTTGTTAATCACCAAAACTGTAAGAAAAACAACTCCCTTTTTTTTTTTTTTTTCTAAGCTGTCGTTTGCTTGCTGGTCCTTGTTCTGACTTTCTCCATCGGCATTTAGCACTCGAGGAACAGGACTGACCTGCGAGTGAGTGACAGGACAAGGAAAATACATTTGTTTTTCTCCTACATCTTGAGTGAACAACCAGTGAATCCTCATGAAGAACTGGAGGTGGGAGTCTGAACTGTCAAAACACTTCCTAGAACAATATTTTGATTTTAAGGAGTTTTCTGTTCTGTTTCAGTTCCTTCTAAACCCTGCTTCCCTGCCTCCATGTGATAGGAAATCAACCTGAGAAAAAATATTAATCTTGTTCAAAAAAAGGTTTTTATATACAGGAGATGTCTAAAAATAAATTTTAAAAGTAGCATACTTTTATCTGCAAAGGCTTTTTAATCTCTCTAGGTAAGAGTATGCAGGACCGCTTCTGATCTGTAGTAGGGATGGACTAAAGACACGGTACACCTCTTCTAACACTCACTGGTAATGGGTTAGAAGGTGCTATAGCAGCCATGTCTGTCTTCTATCAGGACTGTGTCCATTCCAGAGCCATTATCCAGGGACTACAGACATGCTAAAACGTTTATGTGCTCTGTGTCAGAGGACCACGTGATGGGCCAAAAGTCTGATGAACCTACAATTCATGGGATGAGGCATCTGTGTTGACCTCGATCTATCACCTTTATTCTCAGTGGTAACTCCTTCCAATTTGAAAGGTATGCCCGAGACCTTGAGTATCTCCAGTCAACAGGGTGCCTCTGCCTGTATATGGAAATGGAAATGTGGCTGTACACGTATGTGGAAAGTGGGCAGACTTGGGAGGTGGTGCAGCTGAAGAGGTGAGAGAGGAGCTTTCTGAGTCGTGCCTTGAGGTTCTGGTCTGGGTAGGTGGGAGTGAGTCATCTCCACGGGGCTGGGTACCTTTCATGAGAAGATGTAGAAAGTGTAGCAGTAGGAGGATCACAGGGCTGAAATGCTGGTTTGGGAGAAGAAGGAGATGAGGTGTGTGGGGTTGAGGGCTTGGTTTAAGGCAGACAAAGGAGTGTTGGAGGTGAAGAAGAGAACTCCTCTGACAACAGTCAGATCCAGAGGCATTTTCTATCTTAAGCAGGTCAGATGAATAACAGTTGGGCTAGCAAAGAAACCAGCACAGACACAGTAGCCGGTGGCTTCAGACAGTAACTTTCAGCTGAAACAAAGCAGTACTCTTACTTTTCATTATGAAGTAGGTATGATTTAGTCCTTTTTGAGCTTTTGTGAGCACTTCTGTGAAACAGGACTGAAGGCATGTGGGTAAGCATTCATTTGCCTCCATTTAGTTGCGTTTTTGGAGTGACAAGGGGGTATATGTGACTGTTTCTCAGCCTCCCTCCTAGGCAGCCCTGACGATGTCAATCTTTGTTGAACTTCGGATGAGCAGGTGAGACAGATAGGCTCTGCAAAGCTTCCTGGGCTCTTCTTTTACTCTCCTTCCATTGCTCTTCTTGCTGTAGTCCAGACCTGAGCTGATGGTGTGAGCATGGGTGGACATGGGCAGGATGGGGATCAGAGTGTGGGCTCTGGAGCAGGGCTAGGACTGGGAATCGCAGGTCTAACTCCACCATCTTGTGTCAATGCCACAGTCTCTACATTGGGTAGAAGTCATCAGCATTCAACACTGTCTGCTCTACTTCTTTGCCCCTCTGCTCTAGGGAAGAACTGGTGGGCAGATGAGCATAAGAAGGAACAGGGTGAGTATTGCAACTCATCTCTTTACCAGGTGAGGTTTTCCCCATGCCAACAACTTTCGGTTCATCCACCACAACTTTGTTTTCTTTGTGTGGCAGCAAATGATGCCTCTTCTGGCTTGTTCTCTTTTTCTTCCTTCTTAAGGAGGATCTTCTTGGATTTACCAGATCCATCTTTCAAAATAGTAATGTGAATTGAGGGGTTATACCCTAGATTTCACACGTAGTTACCCTGCCTGCTGCTTATCACAGTTGAGCTATTTCAGTGATTTCTGCACATCACTGAACAATCTCATTCCCATCCTAAGGTGAGTGTCTTGACCCTAAGTGCATATCTTGAGCCTACACACTTTTCTCCATATGCACACGGTCTTTTTTTACTCTTTTTAAAAGTTATTTGTCCTCCCCCCTCCCCTGCCACATGCATGACAGACTGGATGTCTCTGGGCTTGAATCAAATTGTCCCTTTTTTTTTTTTTTTTAAATATATATTTTTTTTGTGTGTGTGGCCATCCAACACACAGTCAGAATGAAGAACAAACTCCAGTTCAGGAGGTGAGCAAGAAAAACCCCTCTGAAACTGCCCGGGACTGAAACAATTTGGCAAACTTTGCAGAAGAAAACTGCCAGCGTGGAACGTGGAACGTGGAACGACTAGATGGGAGCATTACTTCAACAGAAGAAGCTCTGATTAGCAGATTATCACTTAAGTGATGTTGATCCCAGCCACGCTGCCTTCCAAATAAGCTCTTTGGCAGCTGCCAGCTGCACCGTAGAGTCATGCATGGAAATAAGTGGGCCAGATCCTTTGCTGGCATGGGTCGAGGCAGCTTTGATGGATCGTCGTGGAGTTAAAGCAGCTGAAGACTGGCTATAACAGGGAGTCTGACTCGCTTCTCAAACTTCTTTGAGAGTCATGGATAAGCCACAGCACGCTACAGCTGCAGGGACCCGTTAAACTTCAATTGTGTCCAACTGCTACTGGACAAGGTGTTCTTTGTCAGTAATACTTTTTTTTTTTTTTTGTAATTGCAGATATGAGACTGAGCTAGCAGACTGTAGCAGTGGCTGTAATGTGCTCAGAGCCTGTGTGCAAAGAGCCAGTGCAAGCAGTATGAGAGTGGGTGGAATCAGTTTATCACTAACTGTGAGAGAGATCCTTGCTGAGTCAGATAGGGGAATGATGAGGGAATTTTTTTTTGTCTGTTTGGTTTTTTTTTGTTACAGTTGCTGAGCTTGTAACCTGTTCCCTAGGACTATAAACCAGTATATGGTGTCTTGCCCTCATAAAGCTCTATTTATGTCTGATGAGTTTGTTTGGCTGAGGTGTGGGGAGCATGTGAGGGACTCTCATGAACAGCCTTGGGGTGAGCTTTTCCCGGAGTTCACAGTCCATTTCAACTCTGATAAGCATTCAAAGGTGATGGCCCGAAACCTGGCAGTGAGGAGTGGCAGTGAGGCCGTGGGGCAGAGGGAAACAAATTCTCTTGTGAGGCAGCTTGGGCTTGCCGCTGCACACTGGAGACAACGGAAAGCCACAGCTTGACGGGATGCCTGTGATCAGTGCATTGAATGAAATCTTTAATTCACTTCCCCAAACAGCCTAGGAAGATTCTCAGCCTTTGTCCTGAACAAGACTGCAGCCCTATCCAGGAAATCTCTGACCATAAATACCAGTGAATTCAAGCCCTGGGAGTTTTTAGGTTATTGGGTTGAATCCTGGTTTGTCAGTGTAACCTTGCTGTAGACTTGGACTTTTCAACCTAGAAAAGAGGTTACCAAAGAAGACGAGGACACTAGGTAGGATTTAGATCTGTGAAAATCATGAAGATGGCCACTGGGAAATAGTGATGTGGTATCTCTCATAATAAAGAGATTGGGAGCACAGGACTGAAAATTTCTGGGTAGGTGCAAAGCAAAGAAAATGAGGTGCTCTTCACACGCAAGTGGTGAAGCTATGAAACTTCTTGCACAGGATCTTGTTTACATGGATTCAAAATGTGATTAGATGTGTTAATGGAAGGAAAAAACATTCAAGACTTTTAAACTCTAATGTAATGTCTGTGTCCTAAGAGGTCTCTGAGTCCAGAGTTACTGAGGGCTGGGAGGGTACTTGGGAAACCATCAGTACATGTTCATGCTGTTCTTATGGGAGTTATTAGTAGTACTACCAGTAGTTAGTACAGCACCTTGTTCAGTCCCTATCCATCATGAGTGCTATTGGAGATGGGATACTCTGGTCACGGATTTTTCATCTGAGCTGTTCTGGGGTTAGGAAAAAAAAAAAAAAAAGAAAAGAAAAGGTGATTTTCCAGTCACACAGATGACAAACTCAGTCCCTGACCCAGTCCATCCCTCTCTGAAAGACCAGTCTTTGGAGAACTGTGAGCAGGGACGTGCTACCGGTCCTGCATGCCTCCTGCCCACCTGCACTGCTGCTCCTCCAGCAGCCCATGGACCATGCATGGTCAGTCACTCTGGGTCTGCCCTAGCCCTCGTGTGACACCCCACTGGCTGCTTAACTGGAGAGTCAGGGCTGGGAGGGGTAGGATAGCCTGGCAATGTTAAAAGATGTGATCTCAAGAGTCACACCTTTCTTCCCTCTCTGTGTTTTAGCAGGACCAGTCTGAAACCAGCTTCTGCTTTCCAGGACAGGTAATCTCAGCATTATGTCTGCTCCCACAAAGCCTGGAGGTGGTTTTTCCAGGTGTCCTGAGAGTCACAGAGTCTGTTTATGTTGCTTGCCTCTACTATCCAAGCCTGAATCTTTGCCCCTGATTACCACAGCACTGACCCACCTCTTGAGGTGTGAGATAAACATCTAATAGAGAACAAGGCTTTACCTCTTGATTTGAAGGCTCGAGTGTCTGAAAATCTGCTGCTTCTCATGGTTGGCTTGCTGTTAAAAAAGGCTTAGCTGCATTTTGGTGTTGAACTCAAGTGGGTTTTGTTTCCATCTCTTGAGCTTCCTTATGTCTGTCTTTCAAGAACAGGGAAAAGACTTGGCCTTAAAGTCTCCTTTAAAAGTCTCCTAAAATCTCTTTAAAGTCTCCTTTATCAAAGAGGCTATCTTTAAAAAAGTCATCTCTGGTTGAAGCTTCCAGCCCGCATCAGGCAAAATTGAGGAAAAAAAGTCGATATATTTTCACTGCAAACTCAATGAGCTATCCAATTGTTTTAAGCAGCACATGATTATCCTACTGTCCTGTAAAATAAACTCTGAAGGAAAACATCTTGGGATATAGCAATAGAATAAAAATACCAGCACTTACACACTAGAAGAAACACAATAAAATGCAACCTGGTCTTGCAGAAGTGGAGATAATATCCTTCTTTCATTGTGATTTGTTAACACTTCATGTAATTATTTTATTTTCAATGGAAGTAAGAAGGTAAATCATGGAAGAATTGTCACCAGATACTCAGGACAGATTTTCAAACATAATTTGCACAATGAAATCTGTGTAAGTTTTAATGAGCAGCTCTTCTCTTCTTTGTGTCTGTGGTTTAGTTTTGGTTTGTCTTGCTGCTGTTGCGCTGGGGATCCAGGCAGAGTGAAATAGGGTCCCATTTCCTCTTCAACTGTAGGACTGGGTTTGCCTTTTAGGTAGGGCCTACCGCAGGGCTTGGTGGGAGTCAAAGCTGGAGAGTGTGATGTGATCAGAAATCTCTGAATCCTTTGTATTCCCCATCTGCACAGCTCACCAGGAGCTGCTGGAAGTTGCTCTGGGTGTTGTCTGGACCAGGCTGACACCAAGCTCTCTATGACACCATTGCATCTTGAGAATGACACTTAAATCTGGCTCAGGAAGATACTCCAGCTGGACAACCTGTCCAACTCCTTGGGACTGATATGTTCCAGATCATGAGCTCTTCTTTTGGTGGTGTCTCCGGTGTGAGGAAGAGGAAGGGGCTCTTTTGCCTGGCATCCCTCCCTGAACACAGTTTTTGTTGTGTGGGCTCTTAGTCTTGAGGGTTTTTTTAGCCTTTTGGTCAGTGAAACAGCAAATACCAGCTGGCTCTGGTACAACAGAAACTGCTTTCATGATGCTGCTTGTGCATCTCCCATATCTCACCTCTCATCCTTAGAAAACCCTCCTCACCTGCCTGGTCGTGCCTCATTATTACCCGACTGCCAGACCTGAAGAAGTCACCACACTCCCGGTCCCAGCTCTGTCCTTATTCACACATACAACTACTAATGGAAAACCAATTTTACCTGCCATGGGAATTCTTACAACAGCCACAGGAGCACAGTCTCAAAAATCAGTAGTGGGGCTGGTGCAAGAGAGATAGTCCAAGATTATAAGTAAGGCAGATTTTTAGATGGGCATGCTGTCTTCTCACAGACCATAGATATAGTTGGAAAAATATACAAATGTGAATTCCAGTGAAGCCTGGAAAGAGATGTTTGGGAAATAAAGCTGAAAGTAGTGTTTGTGGGATGAAAACCTTTTTCTTTTTCTTTTTTTTTTTTTTTTTTTTTTTATATCATATAGTCTCATAAGGGAAATCCCTTTTTCCATGAGTATCACATTAATCAGAAAAGCTCTGTGTTTTTAAGAGCATATGATGACTGTTTCTCTGATGTAAAAAGTCTTTATTTGGTCAACATTAGGAAAGGAGAAAGAATCAGTTCAAACTTCCTTCTCTGGCAGATAAAAGTAGATTCAATCTTGAATGGATATAAAGCTGTAGCTTTTGAGAAAAGGATGTACTTCCCCTAAGAAAGCAGGATGTCATAGCTGCCTATTACATCTCCAACTCTACTGATGTCCAAGGCATCTCAGGCACCTGTGTTGAACCAGCTGGCTTAAGACCCTAAAGTTAAATGGAGTGACTTCTACCTCTAAAATCAGGAAGGATGAACCTGAACCCTACATATACTTCAGAAGGTCTGGAATTTATTCTCTTTCTAGTTCTGATTTTTATGTATAAAATGGGACTTTTTAATATAGAAATAAATATGAAAAATATATTTAAGTTTGTAAATATGTAAAATTCTTTATATTAAGAACCGCGTATAAATAAAATATAAGGAAATAAAATACATAAAAAAAGAAATTAAAACCTTTAAGAACACATCAAGGCTGATTTCTGCTTTGCTCCCCCTGCTCTTCATTTGTTCATCTTTTTTGAGAGGTAGGTCTAAATGTTAATTGTGTCAACTGGTGAAGCAGCATGATTTCTCCAGGCCAAGTGTAATGTCCAGAGTACAACATTGCTGCTGAAACAGAAAGCACCCGTCTCTCATTGAGAAATAATTGATCACGACCCAGAAGTGATCACTAGGACTGATATCTTAGATTTCTCCTCTCTCATTGTATAAACAGGATGTGTAATTTGCAGAGCAAGGGTACCATGTCACTGGGAAGAGGCACAGCGCTGAGAGGGGGACATTGTCTTGTAGCAACATTTCTTTCAAACATGGTTCTGCTCATTTTCTTTCCTTCTGCAACTGCTCTTGACCACATTATCTCTTCTTTTCCATGACCTGGCGAGCAGCTCTCAGAAGAGGCCAGCCCATATCCTCAGGAATGTGGGGTCATGATGTTGAAGAAAGGTGTTCCACGAGGTGACATCGAGGATGGGCTGGAGGGGAATGGGGTGGCGTGGAGTCAGGAACAAGAGGTGGGAGCTGCTCTACATGAAACACAGCAGGTCAGTCTTGAGCATGTTTTCTGGTTCAAGAAGAGTAGTGTTCCTTTTTCAACACAGTAGCACAGAAGTTGCACCACAATGAGAATGTCTCAAGGGGTGCCTGGATGCTCTGGGCTTCCCATAGATGATTAATGAGTGGTCTGAGTCCTGCTGTGGGTGTAGGAGACATTCCTCTTCCTTTGCATTATCTGACATGAGCCTGGCACTGGGGTTGGAACGAAGAGCCCTGCTATGACAGCAACATCTCTCCTCATTCAGTCGC